ACGGCAAAAAATGTGCCATTTCAATGTCAACCAAAATGTAACTACTATAACAAGAAATTTTGCTCTTTTGTTTACTTTTTTAATCACTAAGCATATTCGAGGCAAATTACATTCCTCCTTTGGGGCTTTAAAGTTAGTCAACCACAGACATAACAGAAATTGTTCAAATGATTTTCTGATTTCGTGACATTTTAAGGAATCTGTTCATGTGCAAAATTAAATAAAAGAAAAACAAAAAAAACTCTTAAATGCAAAATAAACGTTCTATTGTTACTTCAAAACAATTTAAACACCATTCTTACATGACAAATTCGAGCCTAGGATAAAAATAGAATATAATCTAATCTTACCTGTTAGTTTTTTAGTTTCAATTCTAGTTTCAATTTTGAAGGAGGATGTTACGTCTATTGAAGAGATCATTTTTCGTGGGGGCACTGGACGTCCGTACTGCAAGAGCACGTGATCCCAGAGAATCGGCGGGCCTTCCACGTTTATTTTGTTGGCTTTCACTACAACATGACAAGAGTAGCCAGCTTTTCTAGTTCCGCTCGATTTATCTAATTATTAAATTTTCCCGTACTAAGACTCAATTTTAATGATTAGATGGCCTAACCTTAAATATGATAATTTACTATAGCACACAATGTTGTTTTACTTTCGAAATCAGGCACAAAAACGTACTTTTTCTGAATAAATATACCTCTTTTACGAAGAATTTTCCATCTCGACAATATGGTCTCAATAGTTTGGTCAAGAGAGCGGTTGAAAGTTATGAACCCTAAACATTAATTTTCATTCTTTGAGTATTTCTCTACATGAAGAACAGAGTGGATAAACCAGGTACGTGACATTTTCAGTGTGGTTATAATCACGATATCACAGGAAAAAAAATCCGTACCCGAACTATTTTATTCTACATTAATTAGAAGGTTAATAATTATGTGCCTTTTTTTATTTACCACTACTTACTTTGAAATAAAAATCAGTATGGTTATACTCAAAACTAATGTGGAATACGAAAACAAAGACAAATGTCCATATTAATGAGACCACTTTATGTTATTTTCCCTGACTATATACCTGAAAACATCGCTTACTATACCTGGCAACTTTTACATTTTTTTAAAAAAAATTTTTTTAAATAAATTTCATTGTGCTCGGAAAAGGCTTTTTGTATCCATATTGAAAGCTCGAGCTTCTTTCAAATAACATTTAAATTCAATTAAAAAGATCAGGCAATGCTAATTATATATGTATTTAAATTATTCAAATGTAGTTCTAATAAAAATCAATTTAAACCGCATTTATTTAAAGATATTAAAGATTTATTTAAAGATATATAAATTGTATCGCCACAATAAATGCAAAAATAAAACCTTCCGGAAAATCACAAAGAGTTAGCAGATACTACTTAAGTAGTTAACTCTTCATACCTTTAAGACTTTTTAAGCGAATCGAAAACTACTTGCACACTACCTTAAGTTGGATATGATTCCTTGAAAATAAATGCTTTTTAATTATTATTTATTATTTTATCTAATAATCAGTAGGAATGACTTTAAGGTCTGCATATTTCAACACGATTTTAAAGTACATAATTTTAAAATACGAAATACGAAATTGGTTTAATAGTTTCTGATTTATCCAATTTTAGAAAAGTCGTATATCTAAAATTTAATTTCTCGATAGTTTTGAACGATTTAGTCTAAATTTCGAACTTTGTAAATTACAATCACGTTCCTTAAAATGGTGCAAAAACTTGTAAATCTTAAAATTCAAACTTTTGTCTGCTATTATTAAATAAATGAATAAAAATTTAAAAATTAGTAATAAAATTATTCTTTACACATCATTGTCTTAGGACAAATGAATTTTATAATTGTGTGAAAAAAATTTCAATTTGCTTAAAAAGTTGGTTGGTTGGTTGGTGTCGTATCCTCTATAGAATCATATTTCATGGTGTGCTTGAATAGTTTTTGTTATTTCTATGGCATTAAAAGAATACAAATCCTCTTCTGTGGGGTAGTTTAAGAGGTGAAGGCCTGCAGCGACTGCAGGGCAGTTAAAAACATGATATGGTGCTTAAAAAGTTCTCGGAATATAAGCGATAAAAGCAAAGAATGAAAGTAAATTTAAGTTATCCAAACTTTCAACCGCTGTCATGCCTAAACTATTTGGGACCATATTTTTCCAGATCCTCCCCCTTCCCATATTTTGCGAGTCAGGAATTAAAATATGTCAAAAAATTTAACTTTATTAATAGAAAGTACGTTTTTGTAACTTAAAATTAACATTTACATTAATTAATTAGCAAATTTAAGGTTATGCCCTCAAACTGTTGTGGTTGCTTTGTAGCTCCTGAAAATCAGATCATTGGATCAAAAGTCTCATTAAATAATTTTATTATTAGGTAATAATTAAATTTGAACATTTTGTTAGTTTAAGAGATATTTTACATTTTATTGAACAGTCGATCCAAAATTTTTGGATTTACGACTACTAACGTTCAACACCGCAGCCTTGTAATTTTGAACCCAATCTAGAAGACAAGAAAACTCCTGGATCAAGTATTGGGAGAAATTTGCCTTTGTGGAGGACTTTTTGATGGAACTAACCCGCATTTGTGTTACATGGTGAGGAAGACCACGAGAACCTCCTATGGTTAGCATGCCGGCAAGAGTACTCTAACCCATGATCCGTCTACCAGTGAGGATATTTCACGTCAGCACTGTGGTCGGTGCAAGCCGGGTGTGGAGTTTGTATCGATTAACCATAGCTGGGATTTGAACTCGTTTATTGGTAACAAGTTTATTTTCTCTTTCTTTTTTTATTTCATTTATTGGGTACAACCATCACCTATATAAAAAAGCCTCCACACGGTTTTTTATAAATAGTCCGCGCAGACTATTTATAAAGTGAATCGTTTGTGCGCATGAACCCAAAACCTTTTATTAAAGTTATTGGGAGATATTTATCATATATATTTGAGAATTGAATCTGTAGTGGTTGACAAGTGAATAAGGCAAAACAATAATATTCATAAATAAAACAAATTTATAGACATATATTTGCTACCACTTTCTTATTTTAAGTAGATTTTGTATTAAGTGACTCGTTCGGAAAGTGGATATCCTTCACAGTGGTCTGATCGGACTACCTATAAAAAACCGTGTGGAGGCTTTCAGTTATAGGAGGCGTTGGCNTTAATATAAAAAGTTTCAGAGCTTTTTATTCACTTTACTTTTTTGGGATTTTATGAACTGAAAAATGACAGTTTTCGTGAGAATGACCCATATATATATATGTACATATATTTTTTGTTCTGTTACTAATTTGAAAATGTTAGTATATTTTGTCAAGATCTTGTATTTCATTTGTTCTTTTCTAAGTTTGATATTCATGGCATGCAAAAGCTTATATACTTAGCAATAGCTTACATCTTATGTAAATTAATAAAATTTGTCATTACAACGTGCAAGTATCACTTTCTGAGTGCATGATAAACTTGAATCAATGCTAAAAAAGTTCAACCTTTAGATCTGCAATCTGTTAATGAATGTATTGGTTCTCTCAGAAAATGTGTATTAGAAACTTTTAGTAACTTTTCATTGCTATATTCCTAATAGATGTAATCAATTCTTATCAAAGAATTCAGATACATAAACTTGCAATCTTGCTATAATTTTTTTTTCAAAAAATATACATTAATCATGATTACAGATCTCTCTTAACTTTATTTAAAAATGCAAAGCTATTTGAGTTGACTATTGATGGTTCTCAAAAAGCTAAAGAGCTTTTTTTAATTGACTTCTGCTTTTTAATAAGTATACTGTTAGGTCAAACTGAATGAAATGTAAGTATTGCATTATTTTTTTTCCTGTAATATATCTTAAATTTAACCTAAACTTATCTAAAAAATAAAGGGCACTCCCATGATACAAAGGACAATATAACTTTAAAATAAACACTTTTAACTGTTTATTAAAATGGCATTCCACCATTAACAAAAATCTTAGTTTTTTTGTTAACTGCTTCAGATATAAAATTAAAAATTTTAGTTTTTTATGTATTTTGTAATAATAGTAAAGGATACTTATTAAAATATTAATATAGTTTGTAACATCTGTCGCAAGAGCTTTAACTCTGTTTGCCACTTTCTATTTGTCATTTCGTATGTATTTTCAATGTTTCCTATTAATTTAATGTTTTTTTTTAAAATAAATTTTAAAAAATAATCTGATTTTTGCGTGTAGTAGAAGATGAATTTCAAAATAAAATATTTTTACTCTATTTCATATTTTATACTTATTTTTATTATTCTAAATAAAATGTTTATATTTTTCAACTTTTTTTCTTAGGTGCACAATGATATTAAGCTATTAAAAACATTTTATGTAATTTTTTAAAAAAAAATTATTAAATATTTATAAATGAAATAAAAGTTTACAAATGTAGAAACCATTTGAAACATAATGTCTGTCAGTAAGCAGGAAATTGCTTCAAAATGCAGAACCTGATCTGAGATTAGAACTGTCAAGAGTTTTTACTCTCATCATGCAATTGCAAACATCCCAATTAAGAGTAGTTTTTTTTTTTCCAATTTAAAATATACTCCTACTAAATACCAGTTGGTTTGTTAAATTTTTATTTGAGCTATCATTTTAATTGTAAAAAAGTTATAGTAAGATGTTTTTTTTTCTTCTATGTTTTTATCTGTATAAATTTTTGTTTTTGGAAGGAAAACACATTCTCTACCAAATTTATTTTCTTTTTACCCGATTCTTCTGAATCTCTCATGTATTTTAGAAAGGATGTTTCAAGGAGAATTGAAAGCCACTGTTTTAAATTTTGTCATTGAGAGTATGTATTATCAAGCATTATGTCAATAAGCTAGGGTCATGAGGACTAATCCTTCCCTATATATCGCTTTTTGAAAAAGAAATAATGTTTTTAATAACTGAGTATGTTAATTTGAAATTTAACTTAAGTTTTTATTCTAGGTCATTCCCAATAATTTAATCAAAGCTGTTGTTGACTATGTTAGAAATTTACAGTCTGTTGATGATCTCGATGATGTAGCGTTACAAGTGTTTGGAAGCCACTCTGATGAGAGGTGTGAAAAATTCAAACAATCAGTTCTATACTATTGTAAAGGCAACAAAAATTTTGGCTCTCACCTCCCAAGTGTTATTGGTATGATAGTGTAGTATTTTTGTAAAATTTTTCTTTTCATTTTTAACTACTTATTATACTGTTTTCTTTACTGTTTCTTGAAAACTATTTTTTTTTAATTCTGAGTTTTTTATTTTTTTATTGTGGTATTACTTTCAAAATTTTTAGTGGTCTTATTTTGTTTTTGGAAAAAACTTAATATTTAGAGGCAAGATTTTAACTAAATATGAAGAAAGGGGCTTTCAGAATTTTTAAAGCAGCAAAAAGATCTTATGTTTTTCAGATTTGTCATTCAAAAATACTTTAATTCATCTCTTAATGATTTGATTTAAAACAATTGTTATAAAATTTTTTAATTACCACAGATTTGTTAAATATTAGTGTAGGGACAATATAATAATTTACTTCTCACAAAATTTTTTTAGCTTCAATACTCATTTTATTTGTATTTAAAAATTATAAAATTTTTTTTAATTATTTCATTAATGAAATACTGTAACAGGTAACCAATTTTAATTAAAAAAATTTAGGGGCCATCCACTAATTTGCATTTGTAATATAAATATTAAAGTTTGCTTAATTCTTTACATATTTTCATAAATTCGGTATGATCAATATTAATCTTGTTAATGTTTTGTTGAATACACTGTTACAAAAAACATTTATTTAAATTTTAAGAAAATTGCCCTCAATAACCTTAAATAACAGTTAAATTAATTAGAGTTTTAAATTACCTTTTACAGAATTAAATAAAGTAATTATTAATTTAAAAAATAGTATGAGCCACTCAATATTGAATTTATTTAAATTGCTTTTGCCAAAAGCTCATTTTTAAGAAATATTTCGGCTATATTAAATAAGTTTTTAGGTCTTTTCCAAACTGAGACACCATTGATTCACTTGCTGTATGATGAAATTTTGTCTCTAGTTTAAGCATTGTTAGGGTGTTTTTTAAAGAGTTCTGCTTTTCTTAGTTTGACAGGAAAGGACTTGAAATCTTTGGATGTAGAAAACGCAGATATTTGGCAAAATTCAAAATTAATAGATGTTGGACTAGATACCACAAATGCGATGACTTCCTCATCTTCTTCAGAAAAAAATTCTATGTATTTAGGTGCCAGGTCTATGGCATGTGCAAAAAAGTTGCCTTTTGAAAATATGTTACTGTACCATCTTAAAGTGTTGCATCCTGTAATGAGAATGGAAGACACTTCTATTAAGTCAATAAGATATCTGGCAACAGTAATCCCATCCATTATAAATCCTGAAGAGGCATCTTTGTTACTGTTACATGGAGAACTGGAAGGTTATTCTTCTGACTCAAATGAATCTGAACCAAATATGTGTTTTGGAACTATATTGTGACTTGTGAATTGATGTGTTTTTGTGTGTACTTTAACTATTTTGTGAAGAAAGATAATTTGGGAAATATCAAATATCTTCTTATAACAAAGCTTTTTAAAGCTCTTTTGTGCATACCACATGGGAATGCCGATGTTGAAAGAGGTTTTAGTACTAGAGAGGTTTTAGTTTTGATCATATGTGTGAATAAAAAGCTACTTGACAATAGGGCAAGTTTAAATTTGCATAGTGTTAATGGTTTGCAACAAGTTGTGTATCATATCAGCTGGGGGTTTAAATGACTTTAAAGTTGACAAAGATATGATTAAAGGGACTCGTGCAGCATTTAAAATTTATTCTGCTTGATTAGAGGTTGAGAAAAAAGAATGTAAAAACACTGAAACTGAGGAAAGCAAATTGAAAGCTGCTGAAATTGATTTGCTAAAAAAATTGAAGGCTTCTCAAGATCTCTTAGACACAGCTGAAAAAATTATTAAAGATGGGTTAAATAATAAAGACATGTCGATTATAGAAAGCGGACTGATCCTCTTATCTGAGGCTAAGTCGAAGATAGCAGATTATTTAACAGCATTGGAAGATACCAGAAAGAAACTTATTTTGTTTATGCAAGGACCTTCGAAAAAGTGTAAAAAATAAGATGTCATTAATGAACAAAATTAAAAACTCTTTTTATTAAATTCTTGTTTTAATTTTTATTAAATATGCTCCAAATCTTTGTTTCGCTGCTCCAAAATTGCTTTTTTTGTTGCTCCAAAGATACACCAAAACCATGTTTTGCTCCCTTCCCCCCAAATTTCATCCTGTTTCAAATATCTGAATTCCTAACAAAATCACCACTCAGGCATATTTTATTAGAATATAAAATTATTTTATCATGTTCTTTGAAAATGATGGTATTCTTTCAAGAAATGAAAGAAAAAACATCATTTCTAGTGAGAATTATCTTTTAAATTCTGTGATTTAAGACTTTTTATTATTTATTTTTTTTAATTCCGAAATGAGAACAGAAAAATCAGGAGTATTTCTTTCCTTTCAGATGAACAAGAAAAGTATCTTTAGAATATAATTCTATGGAAAAAAAAAATTTTGTTTTGCATTTTTTTCAGCTATTTTATTGTTTTAACTCTTTCTTTACTCTGTTTATTAAATTTAAAATCTATAAATATGAAGATGCAGAGAATAGCAGTTTTGGTTGTACCTATCATTTCAATTAATGTTATTATAATGCTTTTTTTAATTTATTGTTGCTTTCTTGTCGGAGAAAATAATAACTTCGTTAAGTCATGAAAACTTCTTGGAATTAGTCATGGAAAATCATGAATTTGAAAGTCTAAAATGTAGCAGATACCCTGTTTTTCCCAACATTCAATAAATTGCATAGTAATTTACGTAGTAGCTGAAATTAAGAAACAGAAAGCTGTTACAAAATTAAACAGTTATTTGACAACTATAAAACAAGAATTAAATTGCTAATTTTTACAGTTAACTAATGATTATATTTTAATGGCTGCACATAACCGAGGCCGGTACCGAAGCACGCACTCCAATTCCTGAAAAATCTTACATGACTGTAGCTTTAAGAAAACAAAGAACGAGCAAGTATTCTGGTCAAGTCTCGGTCTTTAAACATCGAGATTAGGCGTCATTCATAATTACAAACTACCGAGTAATAACTGACTTTTCCCAGGAGGAAAACATTATCTAACGAGCGTTGTTTTGTTACTACTCCCTATGAACACCAGACATTGAACTTTTATGACGCCATCGAGACCAAACCAAAATTGACTGGCAAATCAAAATTGATTTATTTTTTCTTTGTTGCTAACTCTAATAGAAAATTTCAATTTTTTTTCCTGTTAATAGGGAACATTTAAGTGCATCTTTGGGTTTTTAAGTATTTGTATTTGAAAATTAATTTAAAAATGTTTAAAGATTGATCTGTTCCTGATTATTAGCCCATGTTTTAAAAAAGTGTGAAATATCTGTATTACAAGAATTCTATAAAATGCAAAGTCTCACATTTTAAAGTGCTCATTACAACGATCTTTTTAAAGAGAAGCGTCATAAATTAAGTAAAAACTTTTAAAATTTGGTAAATAGGTTCTGTAAAATACAATTCTATGAATAAAATTAATTAAAATATTATATGCTCAATGAGTAAGAAATCTGCAGCCATATGATTCGTCATGAGTTAACATGAGAGGCATGAGAAGTAGGATCCAACTCCTTGCATGTTTTTCATGTTCTCTCGATCTCGGGGCTGTTAATGTGTTAAGGCATTTCAGTTACTACAACTGTAAAAATTCTTATGTATTAATTAATGTATTCAAGGCATAAACTATACCTAAATAATTCAATTTGTTTAATATTAATAAATGCTGTAAAAATTTTGAATATATTTTCAAAAACATGTGTTGCATTCATTGTCAAAAAACATGCAAACATTTATTTCTTTATTTGATTTTTTTTATTGTATAATTACTTGTCTCTTTATTTATTTATTATTTATTTATTTTTGACATTTATTACTCTTTTATACAGGTAATTTAAAGTGTTCAGACACAGATAATCAAGATGCTACCAGTAACTCTAGTTTAAAAGGAGGAAAAATAGGCAAATCCCCTTTGCTTCCCACTCCAGGATCTGTTGTGGGCATGAAATGTAAGTGTATCCACCACATGCGAAAAACTCTCCAATCAGGTTCTTGTTCACATCTCCGAATACACATGCATGATTTTTCACATCCCGTCTGGCTGCCTTCAGGTCTCGTTGTGCTCCTATATTTCCTATAAATTGTGAAAAGTTCCTTTACATCCTGTATTTTCATCCCACCTCCAATTCATTTGCAAATTTTCCTATTTTCCCCTGACCTTCATACTCACAATTTTCTCAAGTTTGATGTTCATCACTTAAACCACTAACATAAAATTCCTCCCAGAATTGTTATGTCAGTGGTTCCATTAATGTGCTCATTTTTTTTCCAACTTCTGTTTTAATGGGAGACTATTTTGTTACAAATATTGATTTGTAACAAAACAAATGTCTAAATAATGTAGTATATTGTTTTCCTTTTTTTAATTAGCTATAATTAGATCATATTAATATTTTTAGCATATTACTGCATGAAAATTTTGCATTGACTAATCACTCTAATGTGCTTGATTCCATATCCATATACCTTTAAACCGTAAATCCATATACCTTTTTTTTGGCAGTTATTGCCATTGAATTTTCTTATGGTTTTTAACACCCTGATATTATGATACTCGAAATTCGAATCCAGCATTTGAATCATCATCTTTTGACACGTCTGAATTGCACCTATACCATGTAAATCCTTGCATTGTTTTGGTCGTTTTTATCGTCAGTCATTGCTATGAATATTCAAAAAGTTTTTTAAAATCCTTTTTTTTCTTCATGCAATGTTACTAGGATAGGCAAACTCAAATAATTAATTTGTTTTGCCTATTTTTGAAGCACCTGATTATGGTTGAATTTATGTGAAATTATGATAATTTTTCGTCAGTTATTGCTGTTGATTTTAACATTATATTTTAAAATCCTGATATTTTCCACATGATATTTTTATAACAACAGAAATTAGAATAGCACATCTTAGTATTCAGTATGTGATGAGATGTTTTGAATGCTTTTTTGGCATTTATCGCTATTGATTTTTTAATGTTTTTTTTATTTAAAATCCTGATGTTATATTTATTACAACATGCGAATCTCAGAACGTACATTTGCTTAACTTCGTTTTCATGGTTTCCAGTTTGCAGGATGTGATCGTAAATATACATGGTTTTGTCAATACTTTTCCACTGTTATTTCCATAAATTTCACTACTTTAAAAATACCTTTTATTTTGAAATTATCGCTATAGGGTTTTTAATATCATGAAGTTTTAAATTGTCATTTATGTTTAAAAAAATATTTTTTCTTTCAAAATCTGACTTTTTTTGTAGTTTAAAATACTTTAATTATCTTTGCAAACTTTCATTTTTAGTTAAAGTTTTGTGTGAAAATGGTTTTTGCATAATACAGTACAGAACCCGTTATCCGGAAACCAGAAAACCAAAAAACCAGAACGAAATTCGGTAAATTTTTCGCCATTTTTTAAAAAAAAAATTTTCCCTCATAAGATTTTAGGATTTTTTTTTTTTTTTTNTTTTTTTTTTTTTTTTTTTTTTTTTTTTTTTTTTTTTTTTTTAAAGATGTTTATCATACCATCACTTTGGAAATAATAATTAGTGTATTACTTCATCGTTTTTTCTTCTTTTTAAGATTATTTCCAAATATTTGTTTTTTTTCAGTTGGGTCTTACAATAAAAAAAACGGCTTTTTGTAGCGATTCAGAAAACCGCAAAATTCAGCTATCCGGAATAGCGATGGTCCCGATCGTTCCGGATAATCGGTTCCCTACTGTATTAGTTTTTAATAATATCTATGTATTAAAATAGTACGTGTACAGTTGGGAACCGATTATCCGGAACGATCGGGACCATCGATATTCCGGATAACTGATTTTTCCGGTTTTCTGAATCGCTACAAAAAGCCGTTTTTTTATTGTTAAACCCTGGANTATTACCAAAGTGATGGTAAGGTAAACATCTTTAAAAAAAGAACGAAAAATCCTAAAATCTTATGAGGAAAAAATTTTTTTTTTTAAAAAGTAGCGGGAAAATTTGTCGTATTTCGTTCCGGTTTTTTGGTTTTCTGATTTCCGGATAACGGGTTCTGTACTGTATTATAAAAAAATTGATTATTGTTATAAGAAAATTAGATCTATAATTTAAAATATTTTCCTTACACATTTCTATAATTTCTCAAAATAATTTCTATATTTCCTGTTATATTTCTGCAGGGTATCCATGCACCTGGAAAGTCATGGATTTTGGAATAGAACAAAATTTGTCATAAAATGTCATGATTTCAAGTGTTTTTTAAAATAATCATGAAAAGTCATGGATTTAGGTTGCCGAAAAATCTAATTTTTAAAATGGAACTTACCTTCCTCCCCCGAATTTTATGGTGTTCCGAATATCTGAATTTGTAACAAAATCCCCACTCACAGTCATATTTGATTAAGATAGAAATTGTTTTTATCGTGTTCTTTAAGAATTATTCTGAAATGAGAACAGAAAAATCAGGCATATTTCTTTCTTCTCCGAAGAACAAGAAAAGTATCTTCAGGATGTAATTCTGCTGAAAAAAGGAAAAACAATTATTTGCTTTTGTATTTTTTTCAGCTATTTCATTGCTTCAACTCTTTCTTTACACTGTTTTTTAAATTTAAAATCTATAAATATGAAAATGCAGAGTATGGCAGTTTTTGGTTATACCTATCATTTCAATGAATGTTATAATAATGCTTTTTTAAATTTATTGTATTTTGTCAGAGAAAATAGTAACTTCGTTAAGTCATGGAAAGTCATGAATTTGAAAATCTAAAATGTAACAGATACCCTGTTTATGCAAAATGTCACTTCTAGACCTGTGACACATTAACAAGCACCAAAAAAAATTTAGAAGACTAGATGCAGCCCAAAAATGCAAATTCAACTGTTGCTGGACATTAAACTTAATTTTAAGACCATTATGGAAAGGCAATGAAACATTTCATTCTTGATATTAGATATTTTCAAAATAATTATAAGCTTATTAATTAATTTATTTACAATTGCTAATCAACTTCATTTATAAAGTCAAGGTTTTGTCAAAAGGAGATAGATTATTTAGAGTTCCATGATTATAAAAAATTGGGAATTGCTGCATTAGAGCATTGTTTTTAAAATGGTAGTTTGTGAAAACATTATTGTAATGACTGAATTTCAATTTGATAATGTAAACAAAAAGTTAAATAGTAAATTTGCAAGCATACATTTACAGCTCTATTGTTAATTCAAAAAGATTGTGTGCTTAGCAATAGTTTTATTCATATTTCCTTAAATATCCTTTTTCAATTAAAAAAATATTGCTAAAAGGCTGTGTGAATGATAAATTTGAAGCCATGCTTTAAGAAAAAATCATTTTGGATTAAATGTCAGCAGCTTGTTTTAAAATTCAATTAAACCTTGTAAACACAAAAAATATATTTTAACATCTGAAACTTAATAGACACAATATGTACCTACCTATAAAACGATTATATAAAAATCTTTTTTATGGGGTGTAAGTTTAGAGAATTCTCTAATTTACTGGAAAAAGAAAAACTCATTCAGCTATCCTATAAAATTTCTTTAAAAGTTATTTTTGAGATTTACTTTAATTCTGGTTCTCTTTTACAATGTTTTTTTTTTTTCTTTAAATCCACTTCAATTTTTATTACTTAGTGCACAATATATAAGAACTTGCCTGAATGATAAATGATTACTATGAACTTACCTGAAAGATAAATGCTTTACAGCTTCTTCACCTTTACATGATTCAGAATGCGGAAAAAATTCTTCATTAGAAGATCAATATTCAAATAATTTGCAAATGAAAGATGATGACATTTCTTGTAGATCCAAGTTTGCCTCAGAGACTGATGAAAATGAAGTAATTATCCTTCTTGATATTGATATTCAATATAAATCTATGTTTGTTTTAAACTGCATTGTTTTTAAGCTTGTGTAAAAAAAAAAAAAAAAAAATTTTTTTTTTTTTAAACATTGCCTTGATTTTTAATGAATTTGAAAACAATTTAATGAACAAATTTACTTACCATATGAATAAAGTTCTTTTTTTTTTTTAATCTTAGTGACATGAAGCACTGTATTTTATCTCATGCTATCCCTATATACAGTACACAAAACAAAACCCCACCCTGTATGACTTTCGATCTAATGATCAGATCTGCCCTTATTAAGACTCAGTCCTAATGGTTCAAGGAAGTGACCTTAAATATGCTAAAAAGTTAGTGCAGTCAGTATTTTAAGTTATAAAGTTCGACTCAAAAACATATTTTCTCTAAATAAACTTACCTTTTTCTTGACAAATTTGGATTTCTGACCTCCAAAATATAGAGTGTAGTCATAATTTTGGCCCCTTAATGTTGATTTCACTTTTTTTACATAATTATAAAATTCGTTTATCTAACTATAAATCAAAAAATAATTTTCAATATTTTTTTTATTTATTTAATAAAAATCTTAATGTTTTCGAATAATTATAAGTTATCCAAATTTTTGTTTCATTTTTAAGAATGTAATTTTAAATGGCAAAATACAAAATTTAAATGAAAGTGGACCAAATGGTTTTTAAGGAATCAAATTTTAAAAAAATGATAACTTTAAAATCAATTTCTCAAAAACCAATTACATTCAAATTTGATGTTTCTTTATTAAATTACATTCTTAAAAATGATGCAAAAATTTGTGTACCTTACAATTCAGAAATTTTTCAACTATGATTGAACTAAATAATAATAAATAATTATTATAAATGATTTTTTGTGTGGAATTATATTTGTGTTCAGAAATTTTTCAATTCGCTCAAAAATTTCTGGAAATTAACATTAAGCGGTCCAAACTTTCAGCTACTTTCCTGACCAAGATATTGAGACCATATTTCCCAGTTTATGGCTACCTCCTTTACTTTTGCGGTCAGAAATTCAAATTTGTCATAAAGGTATGTTCATTTAAAAAATACTATGTTTTTGTGTCTGACTTCATAACTTAAAATATTGTCTGCACTAACTAAGCATATTTAAGATCAGCCCTTCGAACCAATAAGATCTGGTTATTAGATCAAAAGTTATTCACAATTTTTTTTCTCACACTGCATATTTAATTATGTGTTAATTGGTAGTGCCATTTTTACTACTAATAGTTTTAAATTATAGTTATATATTCATGTATTTTTATTGCAGCTTTGTTGTGAAATAGTGTTATGACTAGGGCTCACACCAACAATGAAAATTCAGTGGTCCATTAGCACCACTTAGGTATTCATTTTGTGGTCTCAAAACTTATTATGGTAGACAAAATTGAACTTTTCAATTACATAATTCATGTTATTGTACACATCAAAAGTTATTAATTGCCATTTATAACATTCTAAAACTAATTAGGTTCATTAGCCATAAAGATTGAAGATTATTATTTATTAAAATTTAGTGTAAAAAAGCTAAAATAATATTAGTAAATAAAGTCAACATAGAGATTAGAATGCTGAGACCAAATATATAAATAACTGAGGAAAAGAGTAAGAACTGACAAAATATTACATTAAAAATTAATTATCTAGAAATTATAAAATTTTAAATAAACTCAATTCTAAAAGAACAAAATATGTAATTTTATTAATGAACAGTATCATGAATCCAAAGCACAGCATAACATGTAAATTTGAAATTTTGCTGTTTAAATTAAAAAAATTTGTATATGCACTCTCTGTTATTCCATTTTAATACCACACATTTGAATTCCATACCATGTGTAGAATAAAAAAATTAGTACAATAATTCTTTTTTAAATGCATGCAAAATCGTTGCAAAAAAATTCCTTTTCATAGCTATTTTGTATTCCAAAAATATTTCAAGGTGACAAATTTGTCTCCCATGTTTATGATTTTAACGACAATCCCTTTTTACAACATACATTTTTAGCGAGAGTTACCTAAGCATTCTAACATTAAATAAAAGCCGCTAATTGGCTTTAAGAGGTGCTAATTCCCAATATAAGTATTCCAGCTTTCTTTCTTTTCCCAACTTTTTGAGGTCTTCAAGAGTATTCAAGAATTTTTTCATTAGTTTACATAATAAGAGCATAAAATAATGCTATACCTTGAATAACCTAATCAAGCATAATTATCACTATAGAGATTTGAGTGTTCTACTTTAAAAATAGCCCACTCTTTCTCGTTCATTGATATTTATATTTTGGTGCAGATGCCCGACTAGATCAACTTTGTACAAGTTCATTTTCTGTAAAAAGGTATGCCTCCAGTTTACTTTTACTTGCCAAACTCCAAGAAATGTGTGCATATTTTATTTCAAATTTCTTGTAAACTATCCTATAGATGGTAAATTTGCATTTCCTTCTAAAAAATGGTAAAATTTTGTGAAAAACCCCTTTATTTTGTGTAACCCCCAGGAAAAGCTTAGAACAATCAATTAGCAGCTGTTGCCCAGTTAAATATTTTGCAAATTCATTCCATTTAAGTAAGCTTGATAAATTTGGATTAAAATGTTGGCCAGCTTAGAAATTTGAGACCAAATATTTTAATGATGGTTTTTTAATGGTTAAATATGTGTCGAGGTAAAGATGAAAGATAGCTATGTTTTTCAAAAGTTATGATGCCCTTGTTTTAATATTGTACTGTTAGAAACATTGGAATTTTTATAAATCCTTATAGCATTTACTGTAAAAAAATCATCTATACGATCATGTGAACCTGTGGTCTTATTCTGATGAAATCATCGCGAATGAAGTGCCACTTTAAAAAGTAATTGCTCAAAGGTAGAATTCTAAATTCAGCTTTTGTAATAGTGTATTAAAATATTGTATAACTGCTGGAGAAAAAAAATGCTGAAATGTATGCTTAAATTGAGCATGTCAAAAAGCAATTACTTGAATGTGCAATGCAAAATTTACATGCTTTAATAATAGTTGTCTATGAAAATATCAAGATTTTAAAAACATAGTAGAAATGCATTCTATAAATATTGAAAAATAAACTACAAGAATGTGAAAAATTACAATGTTATCACCCATTGAGCATATATTTTTTTTACAAAAAATGAGACTCCAAATTTGCTTGTTGTAATATTTTAAAAAGCTTAGATTTTTGAAACCATGGGGAAATTCATTAAGTAACTGCCAAAGAAAAATGAGCAAAAAAAATTTTTTGAGTTTACTATAAATCAAGTACGTTTTTTTAATAATAGTTTTGAGTCGATAACTTTTACATCCCCACTGGCTTAGGTAAAATATTTAAAATCCAAAATTTTCCGAGTTCTGGACCTTCCCAGATTTTCAATGATACACAGTATTACTGAAATCAGGTTCTATGTCTTAAAATTACCTTGAAATATTAATGTTTTTTTATGATTTTGTTCGTTACTTATGCACATGTTATTATTGCATTTTAGCTCTCAAGTCTTCAGTCAATACGCCAAGTTCTAGGTAAAGCAAAACATGGAGCTTTTTATCAATTGCTTGCCAATCAAGAGGACTCAAACTGTGACATCACAGCAAACTTCACTAGAAACTTCAATTTATCAGGTAGTTTTTTCTAGTTATTTTCTGAAGTTGTAGAAATTAAGTTACATACAAATAATAGTAAAATATACTCTAGTGTCCAAAAGTTAAGAATAATTCATGTTCATGTGATTATTTAAAGAAATTTAAGTCAAAATGGTGGAAGATGTTATATCTAAATATTATACCATAAGTAAACAATAAAATTTATCAGGTAGTTTTTTCTAGTTATTTTCTGAAGTTGTAGAAATTAAGTTACATACAAATAGTAGTAAAATATACTCTAGTGTCCAAAAGTTAAAAATAATTCATGTTCGTGTGATTATTTAAAGAAATTTAAGTCAAAATGGTGGAAGATGTTATATCTAAATATTATACCATAAGAAAACAATACAAAAGATTATCAATCACTAATTTAAGAAAATGGTGTAAACTCGTTGTTAATAATACTTAAGTGCGGAAAATTCATAAAAAGCTATTTTTTGGGGAGCAGTTTCATAAAGTATATGGTCACTTCTAGTAGACACATAGGCTGTACAATGGTTGCCCATAAGTGCTATGAGAGTGTAGCTGAGTTGTGGTCTCCAAGAGTTCCAAGCACTACATAGAGTTCTGGAACAGAATTTGGCAGGTGTAGAAGAGATGCTATTTATCTCCCGAGCATATCCCATTCATGCTTAGTAGGATTAAGACTAGGGAAAGAGAACTGTTGCTGCATGCACTCGATATTTTAAATTTCGGGAAGTCGTTGGTCAGGAACTCTGCCATTATCTTGTAACCACACTCTATAGTTTATTCAGAGTTAAGACAATTCAATATAAGATCACCCATATTCTATCATTCCAATATTTCTTCCTTTCAAAAAAGCATGTCTATTTGGAGTTTTTGTGGTGTCCATCAGCCTTTTTGCTCTTTACCTTGCTCCTCTGCATAGCAATTGACAGGGTGCGCACAGACTCCTTATACTCCTTAGAAACTCCTTGGAAATAAAAAAGTCCCCAAATAGTACTTGGAACTACTTAGATTTCCAAACTAGTCCTTAGAAACTCCTTAGATTATTGCGATAAGATTCAACCCTACCCAAGCTTTCAGACACGTGAATTATTGTTATGGGGAGGGAGAGGGAATTACTTCCTGTTGCTGGTGAAGGGTAGTATTTCAGGCGCCTCATTCATCTCTATGAGCATTGCAGTGATTGGCTTAGATTGATCGACTGTGCACCAATAGAAATGCGATCAACAAGATTTTCAAAAACAAGTTGCAGAGAGAGTGAGTGACATAGCAACGAAAGTCGGTCTGTTCAACGGAAGTGGGACGAGAGTTTTGCGTGTTACTGGTAAGTACATTTTTCTCTATTTTACAAGCCTTAAGTAGCACATGGACGAAGTTTCGTCTCCAAGATAATTTAATAAATTTCGCTAATGAAGTTTAATTAGCAAGTGTTTCAGAAATAAACAACAAACTAATTGATTAAGATGTTAATTTTTTTTTAAATTCAGGTTTTTTTTTTTTTTTAAATTTTTGAGTTTTTTAAAAATGTTTGTTAAGTTATTCTTTTTTAGTAGAATAAATGTATTATATTTATCTTTTTCAACTCGTAATACTTGTTAAAATGTCTTTTTTTTTTTAAATNTTCTAATTTATTATTTTATATTTATTTATTTATTTTTAAAGTAAGACATAAATCTTATCCTTTTATATTGAACGCGTTGAGTTTGATACATGTTTGTTATGTTCTGTCAAATTTTCAAATATTCTTTCGTTTGTTAAATATAACTTTTAATTACTTATTATTTGTGTTTGATTTGTTGAACACTTAGATTAAATAAAAGTTTATTTTTTGTGATATAATCGTTTGGTCTGTTTTATACTCATGTTCGCAATTTTGTTTTATGACTTCAATAATTGGAGGGAAATTAGAAGCCGCAGAACAGAAATCTATATTAATCCGTTCCCCCCCCTTTTTTTTCAATTCTTTAAATTTTTGGGATCTTAGGTCATTAAGATATGAAATTTTTTTTCGTTCCACGTTTCGCTCTTCATCTTTTTTTTTATTCCCCCCTTTTTTTTCTTCGTTAACTGCTTCATGTAGATTTATTTTAATCTTTCGATATATTTTCTTTTTGTTTTTAATAGATTTAATAATAGTTTTAAATTGAAAATAGATTTGATAATCTTAATAAAACAATTATTTGTTGGGGGGAAGAAACATAAAAAGGCACTATTCTATTTATTCTCCGTTAGTTTATCTTTGCTATCTGGAATATTTATCAATTTTATTTTTCAATTTATTGATAAATTTTATATAATTATCCCCCCTCCCGATCAGCTTAGTATTTTTTTCTACCAAACGTGTTCCGTATGTGATACATTTTTAACGTTTTATTTATTTTTTAAATATTTCGTTTCTTAAATATAGTATAGCTTTTACTTACTTTAAACTTATTATTTTTGTTAATTTTGTTTTGCTCTCGAATGGCATGTGCACCTAGATAAAATAATTTTTCAGTTAAAAAAAAAATTTTTGTTAAAAAAATAGTAATGGTTATTGGTCCGTTTACCTATCCAGTGTTCATTTTTACAATTTTCCGAATTTAAGGGTACAAAATCAAATTTGAAAAAAGTGACCAAAATTTCGATTTTGAGATTTTTATTAATTCAAAAAATAGACGTTATAAGCTTTCAAACAGACAAAAAATTTTTGGAAATCAACCATTTTTTTACTGAGTTATGCAAATTTTAATTAGGCCACGCCCCTTTGTTTACATTCAGAAAACAGAAGTCGGTAGTTTGAAGCAGCCGACTTTTTTAGTTTCGTTTTAAGCTAAAAGAGCTTTATATTATTCAAAATACAAGAAAATTAGTGATGATCAATTTGTTTATAGTAAAAAAGTTTAAGATTTTTAAAAATTTTCATGAAATACATAAAAAATTTGATTTTTGAGCTAGGGCAATATAATTAGCCTCTGAATGGTGGTAACTTTTATTTGGAAATCAAAAACGAGTCATATAAAAAAAAAAATAGGATTCTGCCGTGAATTTTAAGCCGCCTGGAGTGTTTTGACTTTATCGGATTTTATGCTATTTTAAAAGTTCAATAACTATTAAAATTATAATTTTATTAAAGTTCAATAACAATAAAAGTTATTAATCAAATTACTTGAAATTTTGTGTACAGCTTTTTAAAGATATTATAAGTAAATTCTGTGAGTTTCATAAATGTAGCATAAGAACTCTGAAAGTTGGTTTTTAAGGTGCCCTGTACCCTTAGTTGATTGGTTTAGGATACAATGGAAATAAAATATTCTTTTAAGTTCGTGGTGTTTGTTGAACAGTTTGGTGTTTTAGTATAACTACAATTAAAATTGTTTTGTGATCATTAATTTAGACTTTGTTTATGAAATAAAATGAAGTAAGCAAATAGGAAAACAATGGAAACAAATATAAATTACCTTAAACATTCATTCTGTTTCCAACGAGTTTTTTTCTTCTTCTTTTTAAGTACTGAAATATTAAATAGTTGATCGGTGTTTATTAATTTTTAGGATAAATAATTAACAAGATTTGTAAGGTATCTAATCTTTGTAACACAAATATTTAGGGGGGTAATTTCCATTGTTCATAAAAAATTTATAAATATTAAATGATTTTTTACTTTCTACTATTTAAAAAGTGACTGGTAGTGTTTAGAAATTAATGGTTTTGTTTGTTTTTTAGGAGTATTGTCTCTGTGATAATGGCTCCATGTGGCAAATGTGTTTTCAACACTAAATGGTTAGAAGATGAAAAGTACAAGAAATGGCTCTTAGCTGATGGACAGGATAAGCACTCAGCCAGATGCAGGTCTTGTAATAAGACTTTTTCAATTGCCAGCATGGGGGAATCTGCTCTGAAGTCACACATGGGTTACAAAAGCCATTTAGAGTCATTGAGGGCACTACAACTTACAAAGAAAATTTCTTTTCCAAAAGAGTCAACTTCATCCCAGCAAAGGGATTCATCTTCAAATGAAGTTGGAAAGAATTTAGAAAGTTATTTTCAAAGTTCAAAAACACTAGATGCCGAGATACTCTGGGTTTTAAGGACTGTGAAGTGCCACCATTCATATAGGTCAAATACTAACATTGACCAAGTCTTTAAGCTTATGTTTCCTGACAGTGCCATTGCAGCTGACTTTTCATGCAGTGAAAAGAAAATTTCGTATATAGCTGTTTTTGGGCTTGCCCCATATTTCAAGGATCTTCTTCTGAAAGACTTGGAGGGGAAAAATTTTATCCTTCTTTTTGATGAAACCCTCAATTCTAAAAATTTAAAGAAGCAAATGGATATTTATGCAAAATTTTGGCTTGGTAATCACATTAAAACCTGCTTTTTAACATCGGTTTTCCTCGGGCATGCAACTGCTAATGACATGTTTACAAATCTTATAAATTCAGTTTCACCATTGAGTTTAAAAAATGCCTTGCAGCTATCCATGGATGGACCAAATGTTAATTTGAAATTGCATGGACTGTTGGAAGAACATATTCGTAATGAGTTAAGCAAACAACTGATAAATATAGGGACATGTTCATTACATGTTGTACATAATGCCTTCCGTAAAGGTTTTGAAGCTTTAGATTGGGAAATAGAATTGTTTTTGTTTAATATATATCACTTTTTTAAATATTCTCCTGCTAGGAGAGAGGATTTTGCGTCAATATCTGGGTCTCTTTACCCCTTGAAATTCGTTTCCCATAGATGGGTTGAGAATATAATAGTATGTGAAAGAGCATTGGACATTTTCTCTGCATTACATACTTATGTGAAAGACATGGAAAAGGGGAAATTTCAAGAGCCACCAACGAAATCATTTCAAAACATACGAAAAAATGTTAAAGATGTTTTATTTCCCGTGAAATTGAACATATTTTTAAGTGTAGCGAAAACCGTAGAGCCTTTTTTAAAAACCTATCAGTCGGACAAACCTTTGATCCCATTTATGGCTGAAGATCTCAAGAAACTTTTGGTTAGATTAATGCAAAGGTTTTTGAATCCTAAGCTTTTTAACGGCGTATCTGTTCTTAAGTTGCTACAGATAGAGCATGATAATCCCAAAACCCATATTCCTATTGAAAAAATTGATATGGGTTTTGTGGCCGAAAAACAAGTAATAGAGTTATATTCGGCGAAAAAAATTTCTGATGGCCAAATCTTATCCTTACGTAAAGATTTAAAGTCTGCTCTTGTAAAGATGGTATCCGTCATTATATCAAAGTCGCCAGCTAAGTTTAGTATTGTTCGAAACATGTTGTGTCTCACTCCAAAAAAATTAGCTGAAGATAAACAAGGGTGTTTGACGAAAATGAGAAGTCTTCTGCATAGCCTAGCAGATATAAATATTATAATCTATGATTGTGATGAAATTCATGATGATTTTTCTGATTTCATCAATGAAACAGTTAGTCAAAATATTGCAGATTTTTTAAATTTTGATCAAGAAAAGATGAGGTTGGATGAATTTTTTTTCTCATTATTTGGAAGAGAAACATTCGAAAGTTTGGCCATGCATCCAAAAGCTTCTTTCGTTGAGTCATGGACAAGCAACTGTTGAAAGAGGCTTCAGTGTAAATAAGAAAATAGAAGTGGAAAATTTGAAAGAGAACTCATATATCGCTCTGCAAACTATTTGTGATCATATCAATGGTTTGGGTGGTGATATAACAAAGGTTATCATCAATAAAGAACTGAGAAAATCTGTTATGATGGCAAGGCAACGTACAACGAGTATCTTGAAGAAAATAAAAAAATTGAAAATTTAAAAAAAAGGAAATTTGATGACCAGGATTCTTTAAATGAAGTAAACAAAAAGAGGAAATATTTACAGCGATGTATTGATGAACTCGCAAAATCCGCTGATGAATTTGCTGAGAAAGCAGAGAGACTGAACGACATGACTTTGCTAACGAAGTCTAATAGTTTGAGAAAAACTTGAAAGGAAAAAAATATAGAATTGCTAGAGTTGGAAGAAATAAATAAAAAAAAAATAATTTTCCATGTTACAAGCAAACTTTGTTAATGATTTGTTATTTGTTTATTTATAATTTTTTGTACAAAATGTATATATTTTCTTATGTATTCAGATTGATTTCAAAACATGTGTTTGGTCAGATTTTTATGCTAATCTAAATCTTTAATTTCTCTTTATACACTTACTCTAGATTTATTAAAATATTTGAAATTGGAAAATTTATGAAGGTGTTGATTTTATTTATTTTTCTTGGTGAAGTTTGACAAAGTCTAAATTTGAGAGGGTGGGAAAAAAGTATCTTGTGCAAAATAAGAATTTTTATTTATTTTCTTCATAATAACTGCTTTTTAATTACAAAAAAATCTAGCTATCTTTTAAGTGAAATTTTTTAAATTATGACAAGTCCTTAATATTTTGGACTCCTTGGATACTCCTTGGATTTTTTCTTCTGATTTCTGTATGAACCCTGAATTGAACATAATGTAATGATCTCCTTATGACACGTGAACCAATTTTATACTTTTTCTGATATACACACATGTTTTATGCATGTTGACCTGGACTAGGTTATTTTGCATATGCATACTGTTTCACCAGTGATTATGCGTAATTGGAACGATAATTTACGAATTAAGCTTAACTTTAAGACACCATTATTAAGTATTTTAGGGCTTATCTCAAAAGGGTATTGTGCGCATATATAAATGAAAATGTTTTTGTTCTTAGAGTTTTTTTAACTAAATTTTTAAAAGAAGTTTTTGATATTTGGGATGAATGTTAAGATGTAGAATAATTAACATAAGTTTTTGCTGTGAAGTGGGGACTTGAACTAATAGTGGATAATATTTAATTTCCCATTTCTTTTACTAAAATTGTCTATAGCATTTATTAATGTAGCTTCTGTTAAATGTACAATATTTTAAAAATATTTCTATAAACTGACAGTATATTGAATGAAAAATTATTTAACTATCAGGGTTTAATTTTTAATCTTTTGATAACTACACAATTTACATGAAATCAGATTTAGTTTTGTGCTATCTTTTAAGCTCCTTGATGCTTGGGGAGGAATTTTATCATATAACCAATGTTGAACAGAAGATATTGTTGAGAAATGTTGATGTTGAAGAAGACCGTATAGTTGTTTTGCAATCCTTAATGTTACGTTTCTATCTCTGTATCATAACACTTTTAAACCTCTAAAGTAACTTCTCGATCATGCAACAAACAAGGGGCAAATTTGCTTCCATGAAAAAAAAATTTCTGTGGATCTATCACCCATTTGCTTTACACTGAAAGAAAAACTACATAAAACCTCAAATGGTGATACCAACAGTAAGAAAACTTTAACCAAACTGTTTGGAAATTAAATTTATTGAATAGGTAAATAAGATACATGCTTTCTTGTAAAACTTAAGTTTAATATTACCAATAGCCAATTTTTATTCATGCCTGTTTCTTTTCATTGTAAATGTAAATCGACTTATACTGAAAATGCAATAAAATGCTTTCAAATAAATGTTTTGTTGAGTCATATAAAAGAAGAAAGGTTTTTGTATTTTTAAAATTAAAACTACCTTAAAAAAAATTTTTTTTAAATAATTATTTGATTTTATTGCTATGTGCTATTATTTACAAAAAAAAAAAATAATAATCTTCAATAATGTCTAAATTATGAATAGCATTACAGTAATTATTGCATTTTTTGTAAGAAATTGTTTTTTTTCCAACTGTTATCCATTAAACTTTAATGAAATACTAAACCTACAAACACAAATATTAACATAATTTATTTATTCATTTGCTAAAAGCGAATTTTATATGAAAGTAATGCATATATATATCATATTTTTTTAGTTATTTTTTAATTTTATTCATTAAGATTTTATCAACTTTTAATAAATATCTATGCAACTCCATATTTCTAATTTCTCACTTTAGCAAACATGTCCTATAGGTGTCCACTTTATTGAGGTTTCCTTGAATTAAAATTCTGTACTTGTTGAAACTGATAGAAGACGTAGATTTCCAAAACTACAATTATTTTTATGAATAGCTTTAATATAGCTGTAAATATGAATAAGACTGCTTCAAACATAAAGTAGTGTAACCCAGTAAAATTGGCCTGGAACCCGGTAATGATTCATGAGACGAAAAACCAGTACAGTATGGGACCCTTAATCCGGCATCCCGAAATTCGGCACATAATCCGATCTAATTTTTTTTTTTTTTTTAAGGAAATTTTTATTAATAAGAGAAAAAAAATCAGTTATATTCTCTTTCTACTTGAAATTTTATTCTGTTGAAGTAAGTAACTTTATTTTATCTTTCTAAAAAAAAATTTCTCTAAAGCAGTTTAAAACATCTAAAGTGAAAGGGAAAAGTAAAAACACCTGCATTTTCAATGAACAAAATAAAGAAAAGCAAGTTGGAAGAAACTGATCAATCAATCTTGACAGCTGTGCAAGTGCTCTATTGTTTTTCCCCCCCTTCTTACTCCTTGGTTCCCACATTTCCCTCTCCAGTTTGACCATAAATTAGCCACACCCTTTTGATAATGAAGCTACCACTTGGGATACAAACTGAATTCTATCCCTTTTGTTGCTTTTCTTATTTGATGTAAATTATACTCTTTTGTTTTTTTATTAGTTATTAACTNTTTTTTTTTTTTTTTTTTTTTTTTTTTTTTTTTTTTTTTTTTTTTTTTTTTTTGTTAATTGATAGCTAGTTTTTTTTTATCATTATTTGTTGCTAGCTTATAAAAAATATATATTGTTAATTCTATTCTATAGATTATATTTTAATGAGATTTCTTAAGATGAGACAGTTTTAAATTCACCTACCACGATCAAAACTTAACTAAATTTATTGGAATGAATTAATTTTCTGAAATTAGCAGTATAATTGAATTTTGTAATATATGGGTGCCATATTGGAATTTCCGAAAGAGATCCGAAATTCGGCAAATTCCGAAATACGGAATTTCGTCGGTCCTGTGAGTGCCGGAATTGGGGTCCTATACTGTAATGAAATTCTTTTGCCCGATCTGGGTAATGAAAATCTGGCAACTGTCCCTCGTTGAAATTTGCACTATTATGAAATATAAATTCTTACACATAACTATAGCATACCGTAGCACATAAAACATTAATAAAGTATTAGGATCTAGTGTTGGTTGTTTTTGGTGTTTTTTGAATGAAGATAAAATTTGGTGTTTGTTGAACGACACCAAAACTTACTTCAAGTGTAATATTCACCCGAAAAAGCTGATGGTTAGTATTTGCTTGTTCTAGTGCCAGTGTGATCCTTTAGGCTTTTATGAAACCTGACTATAGGTCACAATAAGAATATATACCAACTGACTAGACAAAGTGATGAAAAAACTTAAAGAAAAAAAAAACCTGGATTGGTTAACTGAGTGTCTCTCGTTGCCAGGGTTTTATCCCATTTGCTGGAACAACCTATCACTTACATAGCAAAGATGTCGAGAAAATATAGGTGCATACTTTGATGATTAAAATAGTTCCATATATCTCTAAGCAATCAACCAACTTTATCTTTTTTCTAAAAATTTCATTCTTGATGACCTAATAGGAGACCTATAAAGTGTGTTTGACAGGGTTACATTCTTGGAAATTTCATCTTCATAAATTTATTTTTTTTCTTTCCAAGTATTGCATCATGCTTGCTTATTTCTATCTTTTTGAAGTAAAAATTGTATATAAGGCAAATTACTTTCAATTTCTAAATTATTTTTTCTCATTATTTAATTTTTAATTTTCAGGTAACACGGAAAATGTTTCGAATCATCAAGATAGTACATTTAGAGTAGAATCTTTGGATAATGCTAATATTGAATCGGGGATGGATACATTGTCATTGGTGAGGAACCATCTATCTCTAATTCAGTGTTATTCTTTATTTACAGGCTTTAGCTTTCTTGCTTAAGCTGATAAAATTAAATTATTTTTGGTAAAAAAATTAAGTGTCCTCATTTGTTTCAAAGGTAAATCTTTAAAATAAACCTTCCAAAATGATTTTATAAGATATGTCCAATTTTATTTTTTCTCATACTAAAGACTTTAGTTGTGAGAAGAAAGTGCGTACATGCGTAACTCCATATATAGAGTAGTCTCATAATGTAGCTATATCTACTATAATTTTAAACTTATTATCTGTAATTACCTATTAAAATCGTGATGAGTTTGATTGTGGGGATTATAGGCCAGTGTAGACAATGCACCAAAAACTTTTCAGGGGGCTACAAAAATTAGACATCTGTTCTTAACAATTGATAGCACCATATCAAATTCTTGTTTCCTTACAATGAAATGTAATTGGGTAGTAATAATTTGAAAATGAAAGTTGCATAAAAAAACAGGATTGGTTGGTTTAAACCAATGTCGTTTATAAACCATCGCTAAAACAAAGTAAAAATTTTTTAATAATTTGATTTTCCAATATCTATTTACACTACCCTGCAATAATAGAAGAGATATTTTCAGTTTTGAACATTTAAATTTCTTAAGAAATACTAAAGGATTATTTTGTAATTTTCGAGGTGTTTAGTTTATGTAATTTTTCATACTTACCAGTAAGATTTAGAGGTTTTGAAGACCTAATATAAATTACGAAAGAAAAGAACTATTTTTAAACTCCCTATACCAGAAAATCAAGCTTGATTTGATTACTTTAGTTACTTTTAATAACTGCTTAAAGATTCGAAAACCTAAAGTAAATATGTATGGAGATATTATTTTTTTCTTTTTTTTCTAACGGCAGGCACTGAACTTTTATGTTCTTTGCCTAGGAAGATGCCGGAAGTGTTACTCATTTAGCGTTACCCAGTGGGCACCTGTGAACCTAGGTCGCGAAGGCGAGCAACATTACCCACGCTACACTGCCACAGATACCCGTTTTACAGGATGGGCCACATTCACACATCACACAATAGAGAACAGCACACAGAGAGAAACCTCCATGCCCAGAGCGGTACTTGAACCTGCAGCCACTGGCTTCGCAGTCGGGCACGCTAACCACTCGACCTTCGGCCGGCGTGTGGAGATATGGACATTTATATAAAAAAAAATTAATTTTTTCGCCTTATGTTTTTTTGCTATAACTTCATAAATATTGAATGGAATAAAAAAAAATTTGGGGGGTAAATTTAAGATTTAATTACAAAATTGTTGATTTAAAATTTTAAAAAACTGCGCATGATATGAGTATTTAAGCTAGTTCTGTTATGCTATGCATGAGCAGAAAAAATTTTCATAATTTTGTTTTGAATCGTATTTGGCAATTAATGAAAAAAGCTTCATTTGAATATCATAAAAATTTCCAGCAATTTTCTAATTAGTTTTTTTTTTTTACTTTTTAATAGAAAACTCAAAACAATAAGAGGTTATCCACAAATTTAATCTTGTACTTATAAACAAGATTTATTAAAAATGAGACCGGCATTATGGGGATCACCCCTCATAAAAGTTTGTTTTGTTTTGTATGTTTTCTTTCTCTATACCATCAAAGTTTAGTTTCCGGACTATTATTGTAAGGTATTATCATTTGTTATTAAATGTTGTCTTATGATACTGAATAAAATTTGTGAAAACCCCCAGACCGTTTTGAGCTTTGTTTTGAAAAATACAAAAACTTCTTGAAACTTTTTAAATTTTTAAGATATTCTAATAAAAATAAATTTATTAGTTGCCAAATGTGACTCACTGCAAAACTATGAAAAAACTTTTTAAAATTTTTTCAGTGCATGCGCAGTATGAAAAAGTTAGCTTAAATGCTCATAACTTGCACAGTTTTTAGCAATTTTTTTTAAAATTTTATATCTATAATTTTTCAATTAGTCTTAAATTGCTAAAAAAATTTGTTTAATTCCATTGAATGTCTGTAAAGTTATAATGAAAAGAACATAAGGCGAAAAAAATGAATTTTTTATAAAAATAACAACTAAAGTAATTGATACAAGTTACCAGCTTATTGCAAGATTTTTAGGCATAGAGTGTTCAAAAACACTCGTTTCCTTTGGTAATTTGTTTTACATTTATTGCTAAGTATTAAAAACTGCGTGAGCTAAACATCTCTAAAGTTAAATAATCCTTTTGGTGTTTCTTGAGAAATTTCAAAAATTTAAAGTGTCTCTTCCATTTTTTAGGGTAGTGTATAAATATTTTTTATTTGTATCAAATGAAAAGGGAAGAAAATCAGTTTTCCTGTTAAAAATTTTCTGTTTTATGGAATCTATTTGCTAATTTGAATAACTGCAAATAAACATGAATATTTAATGTACCATGCCATTTTTGCAAAAATATATACAGTGTAAAGTCGCGTATCCGGAATCGGTGGGACTTCCAGAAGTCCGTATAATAGATTTTTCCGTATAATAGACCCCCAAGGTAAACAAAGCTTAAAATGATTTAATAAACGATCTGAATCTAAGAAGCAAAAAATAAATAAACGTTATTTTTAAGGGGAACAATGTTTTAGCATTAGAATATCTAAATCAAATATAAAATATTAGAAAAAAAATATTATTGCTGAAAATATGGAAAACGAAAAAAATTTAACAGTTACGAAAATATTAATCCGCCATTTTGAACTAGAACGATTCAAGCAGGAAGGGGAAATTCTGGAACAAAGCTTAAAATGATCTAAATCTAAGAAGCAAAAAATAAATAAACATTATTTTTAAGGGGAATAATGTTTTAGTATTAGAATATCTAATCAATAAAACATGAAATATTAGAAAAAAAATATTATTGCTTAAAATATAGAAAACTAAAAAAAATTGACATATGAAAATAATAATCCGCCATTTTTAACTAGAATGATTCAAGCAAGAAAGGGAAATTCCCGTCATTCATTAAGGTGGGTAGATGGAGGAGAAAAATTCATTTCCTCCTTATTTGTGAAAGAAAATAAGTGTAAAGAGGAGATCATTTAAGTTGAGGGTGGGGAAGTAACAAATTATTGTTTTCTCTCCAATCATTGGCTATCAATCAAGCATAAAGACGGGTCACGCTAATCGGGTTCTCTTTATTTTTTCTTTTATGACTGAAAGAATCTGCTAAAGAAAGAATGTTACCCCCTTTTCCTCCCCGCCTCCTTAATATTACATGGTATGGGGAAGAACAAATGTTTTGTTTCTCAAGGATGTGTATCCTTTTAGACCTATTCAAATTTTCTGTTCTGACTCCCCCCCACCTTAACGCTTGCCCCGTTTACCCTTTTCCACAGTATTTCTTCTTTCAATACAAAGGTTCCAGGAAATGCCTCTTTTACTAGCCACCTGCATGGGAAAGGAGAGGGGGAGGGGACTCAGTTGCCGTCTTTTGAAAACAAATCTCCCTCTTTTTCCTACATTCCAAGGGAGGAGCGTTACTGACGGTCACTCAATGGTCTTGGTAGATCTTCACTTCCCCTTTCTGGTGATTTATGGGTTCGATGCATGAATCAGAGGTTCAGTGCAAGCTAGAAAAAAAGAAAATGTGTCAAAAGATCTTTTTTTTTTTTTTTTTTAGGAAAGGGGAAGATGGAGAGATGTTTGTTTATTTTGATTGTTAAAAAGTGTCCGGGAAATCGACCCTTCCGGGAAAGGGACGTCCGGATATGGTACGTTACACTGTATATAAAAAAAAATTCATCTAAATAAACTATTCCCAATTCTATGCTTATAATTTTAGCGATTAGTCAAATAATGTAACTTGTGAATGAGTTAAGATCAAAGATTTCTCTTTTTTTTCTTTTTTTGGTCTTATTACTATCCTAGAATGGTAGGGCATTATGCTCTCATGCCACAAGTCCTGGGTTCTGTCCTCAGGCCAGGCAAGGTTGACTAAGCCTTTCATCCCTTCAGTAGGTCAATAAAATGAATACCAAGCATGACTAAAACTAAACACTAGGGCTTTCGTGTTCTGCTGACCACCCAACTGAAATACCTGTTCCTGCACTCCAGAGCCCAAGGTCAAGAAAACTTAGATGGGCACACTATACCTTATGGGCTGCCACACTACTAAGTTCAGCTTAAAAGCGACGGCATACTCACTACAATCAAATTGAATAAATCGGAATTAAATGCTCTTTTAAATGTTTTAATTTTTTCTTCATTTTTTTATTTATTTGGTTAACCATGTAAACGAATTTTTATTAAACCTATGCAGTATGTTCTTATTAATTAGTGTAATATTTTAAAAATAAATTTTTGTCTTTGAAAGGGAAATTTAACTAAAATCCTAGTATATTTGAAATATTTTGAAAGTATTATTTTATGTAATGCTCCATTATATTAATAAGCATATTGTTGTACTTAAAGCTTCATTATCTTAAAAAAATTTGACAATAATTTTATTCCTTATTTATTATTAAATCATTAGTCTTTACTATTTTTACATATAAGTTTACAAGGCCTATTTGCTATTTTTATAATTCAAGAAAGTTGAGAGCTCAGTTTTGAACTAAATGGTTATAATATAATATGTTATGGATGATCATGTGCTCTTTTTAGAAACAAGGGGAAAAAGCGAAGAAGATGCTAAAGTCTTCAGATGTGTCTCCATTGCCTAAAGTTTCGATAGAAGTAATGCGTATTTCTCGTGAAAGGCACCAAAAAGGTCTCATGCATCCATATATATTCCAAATTCTTTCTCAGGTAAAAAAAGTTATTTTTTTAGTATGTGTTTTTTTTTTTTTAAATTAAAAAAAGATCTATGATATATGAAAACTTTTTATACATTTCTATCAATAAATTCCATCTGTGCCTTAATATTCTAACCATTGACATGAAATTATTTAGGTTTATTAACTTCATTCATTGAAAATTAAAAACTGTAGGCTATTGCAAGCATCAGTAAGAAAATTTCATTAAATTCCTGGAAAAATATAATTTAAACATTAGTTGTTACATAACTTTTAAAAATGCAAAAAATCCTTTTCCAGTAGTTTCTGTTATTTTTTTTTTAAAAAAAAAGAAAACTCTAGAAATATTAAATTTTTTAAACATTAAATCACGTAACTTAAAAAATTATTTTGAAAGCATATGTTTAAAAAAAACTTGTGTAAAACATTAAACATTGTCAAAACTAATTTTATTGTATAATCTACCATTAAATTAATCAATAACGTTTTTTTTTTTTCTTAATAGGGAGAAATAAAAATCCCTGTTACTTTTGAAGACGAGTCTGGACGTGAACTTCCATCACCTTCTTTGTTGTATCGACCTCTGCGCCAAATGATCTATGCTTTATTATTTAATCATCATCATCTTCAATACTTATCAGAATTAAAGAAGGAAAAAGAAGGCATTGATGGTTAGTGCATAACTTTAAAAAATAATTTTGTTTTCCTAATTTCATGTTTAAAGTCTGTTTTAGAATAATTTAAATAATAACTTTAAAGCAGTACTACCGGCCATATATGTCATTGAGTTCTTTTGTCATTACCTTTTAACTGTTGATCCTGAATGCAATTAGAAATAGGATACAGCTGCAATTCAATTTTTCTCTATTATTTAGTGAATAAGTGTAAATTTGCTTTAGCATTTCTGTATGACTTTGCATAAAGTAGTCAATAGCTAATGAGTAAATGATTCTATATTAATTTTTCTTAGCAATTTCTACCATTCTGTTATTATAAATAGAACCATGATATATCTTAAATCTAAAAATAAAACCATTCATCAAAGTTATTTTCTGTTAGAGTATTGTTTGTTAGGTACTTATTTTTTAGCATCTTTCTCCATTAGTTTTTAAACGTTATCTATGGTGAATATGCTTGCTGAACTTATACATTAAACTCAAATTTTGTGTTTTTATTACAGCAAAACCACCTGAAATATTAGTTAAAGAATGGATTTTTTCAAAATCAAACAAATACCATAAACCTGAAATTGTGCCTTCTCTACCTCTGGGATGGCCAGTTCCTACTATTACAAGATTGTGGTTCGGTTCTGGTCCAGATAATAATAAAAAACGGCTTCAAGCATTCCTGACATGTATGCGTAGTAATTCCACTTTAATGTGTGATCCTCTCGTTGTACCTCAACATCTCATTTTATTATGTTGTGTTTTAAGGTAAGTATTCAATATTAATCATATATCTTTAAGTTGTAATACCATTTTCTTGAAAACTTCAATACTGAGTATTTATCTTTAAGCTGCTTTAAATAATCTCAAAATTTAGCAATTTATGTCATTTCTTGTAGAAATATTCAGATCAAGTTTTTTTAGGAATGAGATAGGCTTTTATAGTTGTTTTTTTTTATTTTGTCAAAATTTTACTTCGCCAAAACTTATTGTAAACCATGTAAGGGAATCATGGCATTTGACAATTATTTTGTGTTCTACCTCTGCACTAACTATTGGGACATAAAAACTTATGGTTGGCTCAGAGGTCTTTTAAAATTCTAAAGTAGTAAAGTTTGATTTCTGAAAGCCCCAAAAAAATTTATAACTCGAATCAATGAACTTTAATGATGTAATGGCCAATTATTTTTATACTGTATTCGAATTTGATATGTGCTACACAGCATTTTTTTCGCCATGAACACATTAAGGGGACATGAGGATTTCAGTTATTGCTGTATCTATGATGTGAAATATTAGGTCAAATTTGTTTCTTTTTAATTTCTGTATTTTAGAATTTAATTTATTTAATATGATTTCAATTTTTTGATTTGTCACTTACAGGTATTTGATAACCAGTTCTGAAATGCCTTTTCTGTACAAACATGAACTAGATGCATTTCTTGTACAGGCTGTTGATCCTCATTTAATGGATACTGAATACACTCAAAAGTTAGAAGTATGTGTACTAGAGATTTTTTAACTCTTTTTATTTATTTATTTATTTTTTGTTGATAAAATTGTATGTACTGTACGAAGAAAGTTTATTTTAGCTGATCTTTATAAAAAAATTATGTATATGCATCAACTTTGTATACTTTAAAATGTCCTTTTACAAAATTATGTTTGAAGGCATCTGCAAAAAATAAATTAAATGTTATTTAAATATTTTTAGATGCTCAAAGTAATTTCATTACTATTTTTATTTTTGATAATTTTCATAAACCCTAATGAACTTTTCTATTTTTAGATTCCAATTGTTTCTCCCCGTGGAGTAATGCTTGCAGCTCTATTTATGCAAGGTGTTGATCATGCTATTATGGCAAATGATGCTTGTGGTGCCCCAATCTCATGGCTTATGTGTTGCCCATGGTTATTTTTTGATGGTAAAATATTTCATCGTAAGTTACTTAAAGCTAATACAGCCAAGAATCTTCTTGATCTCTGTGATAATCGAGTAAGTAATAGAACTGAAAAGTAAAGTTTGTATGTTAAATTCAAAATGTTTAAAACTGCACTATCCATACATAGTTAGTCAAAAGTCTAAAATATAAAAATAACCTTTTAACTTAATAAGGACTGAATTAAGGTCTGTGAATTCTTTGTTGGGATAATTATTTGGTAATTTTCATTATGATTATAAATATGCATGGTTATATACTTAGTTATAAAAGGTAATTGAAAATTTCCTCTATAATACCTTCATTTTTTAAGCAATAAGCATACAACTTATTTAAAATGACCCTTATTACTCTATCTTTGCTTGAGTGTCTAATAAGGTTATTGAATTCAAAAGTCTGCATTTCATTGATTAACTTGTTATAATATAAAATTTTTGCAAAGCTAACAAAAGATTTAAAAAATATTGCAAATACGGGGGGGGGGAGTAAAACCCTGCTATGATGAACTCAGAATATAGTAAACTGTCGATTGAACGTTTTTAGGGGTTCCTTCTGAGATCCCAATTAACTTATACTATTTCATAATTGACAACTGGGAAATTAGTAGTTTATTTATAAGGAACTCGAGGTTCATTTCCACAGATTTATTTTCAGTTCTCCCTCTTAAAACTTGCATGAGTTCTGATTGCAAGTGCTGAACATTGTATGAAATTTCATACTTATTGTTTAAGGGAGAAAAATGCAACAAAGGTAAGCTCTCCAAAGTAAAAATACTTGTTCTTGCATATGCAAATATGAATGGTTCAAGAAAGCAAACATTAGTTGTAAGTAAATTTTAAAAGCCGCGGTGTTTTTTGAGAAAAAAAAAAACTGATCATCAAAGCCAGTTAAAAAGCATTTGAGGACGTTTTTGCAGTGGATGTTTTGCAAAGCAATGTTTTTGAAGAGGAACTTTAACAATGGGACACTTATTTGTTAAAACAAATATGTAAAAATGTTCTTATCAACAGTTTTAGAGCTCATCCCAACTTAAATTTGGAGTGCAATGAAATAGTTTTTTGCTTCTAAATATGACTGTCACAGCCCTTAAACCAAGACATTATCCTCTGCCTGAAGTCTGACTTTAGGAAATAATTGGTGATGTGTGTTTTAGTGAATAACACAAAATATAACATCTCTCTTTCAGAAGCAATAGTTTTCTTCGAAAAATCCTGGAGACAGGTGACATCAGCAATAATTTTAAATTGTTTCAAACTAATAAGTCTTTCAAAGTATGTGTTGTTGGAAGGAAAGAATTCCTCTCTGAAAGACAAAGACTACAAAAAAAAAAAAATTAAATAAATAACTCTGAATCTGGAAAAGCATGATGTGGACATTTTATGTAATGGAAGTTACTGAACACTTCAAATCTTGCGTTTAGGAAGTGGGTACTTTTAGAACCCGTACAAGCACTGTGCCTGAAGTTATACGAAAGAATGATGCTGACGAAAATTTAGAAGTCAATGTCAAAGCAGAATATGAAATTTCAACTCCTTCTATCTGAGAAGTGACATTAGGGCTGAACATTTCCCTAGGAAATATAGACCAGAAATGTTCGATTCCTTACTAATTATTGATAATAAAAAATTTCGCCTTACTTATCAACTTGTGTTCAATCTAAAATCACTCTTTTCTTCAATTGAACAATAATAAATTAAGTTTTAGTTATTAAAATATTTTCTTTTTTTAAACTTGTTAATTTATTTAATTTATAAGCAATATGATGTATTGATATATATATATACTGTTTCAATTAGTATTTCTAACTATGCTGCCATGTGCAAAAAAAAATTTGGACATTTTGAACATTTGTTTACTTTTTGCTGGATCTGCAAAAGAATCACTATAGCTGGATTTGATTGTATCACAAAAAAATATAAAATGCTAAGAATAAAAATTTATTGTTCTTATGTTTGTTAATGTTAGAAAGTAAGTACATTGCGTAAATTGTGTGTTAAAATTCTTTAATGATTATGTTTTAATAACACCACAGTTTTCTCCTGTATCTACATTGCTCATTTTTCAGTAAAAATATTTATTTTTACCTTCGTGGATTTATAAGTTGAATAACTTTTTCTGAAATAATTTAATATGTTTATTTCTTTGAGTAGTATGATGAAGTGAGTGCTGTTGAGCATATGAAAAGTGCTATTGTTGAAGGATTATCAGTAAAATTCTTAACGCCCTCAATAACAGCACCAACTAGACCTCCTCATCCTTTTCCGAATTTTCCAGTCCCTGTTCAACCTCTTCCTCAAGGACGTGGTAGAGGTAAGTACTGACTTTTCTACACAGAGATACTAGGATTATTCATTTTATTAGCAAATAATGTGTTTGTCAAGAGAGTTGATAAAACTGACAAAAAATATTTACTCAACATAACAACTGAATAATAATCTTTTATATATTCAGAAAACAGATTAACACTTTACTTATGCCTGGAACTATTCATAGACCAGTATAACAAGCCCGTGGCAGAATTGCAGCATTGTCACAGTACGGAGTTCTTGCAGGAAGATTTTTCACTTGAAAAGTTTTTTAAAATGTTGCTTTTCTTTTCTACAGAAATTTTCATGTAATATTTGAATCATGCATTTAAATAATAACTTTTTGACGTGCTCGTTTTACGCCTATAGTATCGTAAATTGATGTAATGTTTCGATTGTATTTTTGGCAGTTATTGATTTCACACGGATTTAAAATATCCCAATATATTTCAAACAATATGAAAAATTCAAATCATGCATTTGAGTATTTTTTTTAAGGCAATAATTTATCAAATTTTTAGCAGCTATTGATTTGATAGTTTTTAAATCTGATATTTTTTATACGATATTATGTATAATAACCTAATCTAGAAATGAAACAAGCATTTCAGGAGAACAATTTGCGTGATTTCGTTGTCTATCTTTTTTTTCGGCAATTTCTACTACGGATTTCATGATTTTTAATTTTCTTTATTGTGATTATTTACAAAATGTGAAGAAGGAAATAATTGTGCATCTCCCCCCCCCCAACAAAATGGGAGAATATCAACCACAATCGAATAAAAATTATTACATGGTTGATTAAAAATATATATAGTTTTTTTTTCTTTTTGTAAACACGGCACTTTTTTTATTTTGAATTACTAACATATATGTTATTATTAAAGGTATCATGCAGAAAGATAATAGTGTGCTAGAGATTTTTGTCCCAGATAGCTCGAAAAAATTCTGCCATAGGGAAAACAGGTATCACGATGTTTTTCACCAAAAGCAAAAGGTTGAAAACATCAATGCAATAACAATTTTTATTATAATATATATAAATAAATTTAAAAATACTTCTACTGATTAAATTTAGATCATGTATAAATCAGATTTTGTGCAGAGTAACTCAGATTTATACTGAGTAGGGATTTTTAGAACCATCGTAATTAATTTCAGTGTTCTATTTTGTTATATTGAAAGCTAGAAAGCAAAACAAATTTTCTCTGTTGTCTGAAGCATGTGAAAATAACTTGTTATCAAAGGCTGTTTACACATTTAGTTGGGCCTTTACTTTCAAAGATTTTGTATGAATTCTTTACTTTCATAAATATTTTAAAAAATGCCAAGAAACAAAAGTTTCCATTGTTTAAAATGTATAACTCTTATCATTAACAGGTCACCAACGTGTTGTTCCACGGGGTGGACAATTAGAAGTCGCTGGTGTAGTTGTTGGAAGTTGGGGCCCTAATTATGGCCAGGGACCTAGATCACCTAGTCGTAACATACCACCTCAAATTGTTTCTGTAGGGGGAGCAGGAAGGTAAATTGTACTCTCTTGATTTTAATTGTACAGGTTGCAAGTGTTAATTAAATTAAAATTTTACATTGTTATTTGATATTTTACAATTATTGATAGAATGTTTGCTTGCTTGAAGGTTTTTATATTTGGATTTCATTTCCAAGGACTCTTAAATCAATATATTCATCAGGTAAGAACTGTTTAAAATCTGATGATGCAAAACGCTGATGTGCCACCTTTTCTTCATTTTGTACGACATTAATTTTCTGACTTCATCTCAAACCCTACAGAAATAGAGTTAAAAATCCTGTTATTTCTGCCAATTTTGTTAACCAAATTTTTTTCCCAAAAGAAAATTTTATTTTCCGGATAATTTCTTCACTAGTGACGTTCCAACCTTAACCTTTACTTTGAATTATATTATTTACTTTGAAATAATTAATTTACTTTGAACCGAACCAACATTCTTTAGTCATCACCCCACTCATTGATGATGTAACATTGTCTTTGACTGATCAAAAATTAGCTTTATCACATTATATTTTAATATATAAATAGGAAAAAAAAGAATATTAGAGTTAGCAATTTTTTGATTTATTCATGATTTAAAATAATTTTAAAACTAAAGTTTATATCATCAGATAAGTGGAATTCACCCATAAATTGCACTTAGTAGTAAATTAACTTTCATATACCAATTATAGTGCTATAACTTATTCACTGGAACACAGTTTTTCATATTTGATTACAGATAACAGATGATCAAGGTATTAATTTTAAGCATTCAGGGTTTTTTTTTTCTTTTTGTATGAGATGAAACTAAAATTGTTTTGTAACTATGTATTTTGTATTAAAATAAAATTACTGATTGAAATAATTGTAGGGGTATGCCATAATTTATTTCTTATGTAAATTCACTTTAGAATTTGCAACAGCATGAAATTCTGTATTTTAAAAAAAAAATCTGAAGTTTTATTGTAAATCTTAAAAATTTTAGATAATATCTTCTGAAATTTTTTACTTTTGGTTGGTATACTGTGGGCGATTCGCTAATTTTGCTAAACATTTAAATTGACTTGTTGCATTTGTGAATTTTATAAATTTTCAGTGCTCTTGCTTTTAATGTAAAAAGTCATCTGTTCTTGCTTAGCTAAGGAAATTTTTTAGCTGCAATTTTCATTTTAGTTCTATTGGAATTCATCCAGAAAAATTAAATTACTTGGACTGACATTTCTTTTCAAACAAATTGTGAAAAAAACATTATTTTATTTTGCAACATCTTGTGCCATTTCTTATTTAGAGGACGTGGTGTTTTAGCCAATCCTGTTGTTGGAAGAGGTATCACTGCTACTAGAACAGTTTCTCCTCCTGGTAGACCACGAGTTCAGTCTCCTCCTACTGGAAATAGAAATCCTGCTCGTTTGGGTGTGGGGCGAGGAGCTATGCTTCTGCATGATACAAAAACAAATTCTCATAGTATGGTGAGTTTATTACTAACTATTTAACAGTAAAAAACTATCCAGAATACTCAATATTTAGCAAATTTCAGGTATGGAAACTAAAAATATCTATATTTTAATGTTACCTTGTTTTACGGAAAACGATACCAGGCCTTAATAAAATCAAAAAAATATCACAATCGAAGCTTATTAAAAAATAAAAATGTGGAAAAAATGCAATAAACATAAAGTTAAAATAACTCTTTTAATTTTTCGCTTTACAGCTGAAAATCCAAGTTTTTCATTTAATCGAAAAGTGCTGCACCACAATAAATGAAGACAATTGATATATAAAAATATAGGAATAAAAAAACATCCATTATAGTTGCTGAAAAAATAATCTCTTTTTAATAATAAAAAAACGCTTTTGAAACTTGACCATTAATGAAAAAATATAAAAATGTAAAAAAGCTGTTTCATTGCCTTAAAATATTTAGAAATGAAAGAAGATTATTAGAAACACCTTCAAATTTTATCACTCGATTGAACTGGTTTTGTCATTTTCAATATCACCTATTTTAATAATATTTCATCAGAGTATAATAGCTTTTTGATTTTCCTTGCTGAAATATCAAATTAAAACCTACATTCTGGGTTTTCTGACTTCATGTTTAAAAAAAAAATTCTAAAAAATATGCATTAAAGGTATTGATTGCAGAGCACCCTATATAAGAAATAATCTTTTAAATTAGTCGACACATTGAAGCTTGCAGATTAGGGCCCTGAACTCATAGTTAACACGTAAACTCTTGCAAGCAAATCATATAAAAGCTCTTTAAATTAAATAAAACAGGATAAACTAAGCCTGAAGTACAATTTAGACTAATTTTAATCAGTCAATTTTTCATTTTTATAATTTATTATTTTACAATAGTGTGAAAGCAAATTATTTTTTTAGTTAGATATTTGTTATTTCTAATTTTCTTAAAAATATTTTAAAATTATAATATACTACTATATATTAATGATTTAAAAAATTATTAACACTAAATTCCATTTTCTCTCCCTTTTTTTTCTTTTTTATATATCAGAAAAAACATAAAAAGAAAATACAGTGGAACCTGTATAAGTGACCACCTGGGTAAAGTGATCACCTGAGTATGGGGACCATTTTCTATAAGTTTTATTTAAAGAGTCTTCATAAAGTGACCACTTCTATATAGTGACCATTTGACTTGGTCCCGAGGGTGGTCAATTTAGACAGGTATTTTATCTACAATTGTATTTTATCTTTCAAACGGTACCATTTTAAGAACTACCATGAGCACCGCTTTCTGCAGATACGTCTCTGTTAGTTTTTTAGACCCTGGACTTCTTAATTTTATCTAAAAACAATATTACTATAATAGTTAGTATTTCTAATTGTTAAAATTTACAAATTAATCATGGAATAAGAAAAAAACTAATTTTTATTCCAACTCAACATTATCCTGAATTTGTAAAGACAGAGACACAATTTTTCAGCAAATTGTTAAATGCTAAATAAATTGCTTTAGATCAGGAAGAAAAAAAAATTATTCTAAATTATTTTAGCCATATCTTTTAATTATCTACACAAATTTATTTGAATAAGCGTAAAATAAAATGAATAAAGTATGTGTGGCAAACTGCTAATTATTTTACATACCATTACATTTTTAGTCTATTTTATTTCTTTTATCAGTTTATTTGAACATCAAATAATTAATTTTTTAAATTAAATGACAAAACTTTTAGATAAAGGGAAAAGCTATAATATTTTTTTATTAAGTATATTAAAGGAGAATAAAAAGCTGATTTAATAGCAAAATAATATTCAAACAAAACAATTAAAATTTTAATTTTTATATTTCCATTAAAATAAATTTTGGGTAAACAATGAGTGAGTTAAGTCACAAGAAGAACATGTTCTGAATTGTTGAAACTATTACCTTACGTAAAAGGTTCAATCTGCTTGAACGCCAGATATGGAAAAAATCCCCTTTCTGTATTACGTACAAAAACTATTAGGTTTTTAATAAAATATTTTTTTAAATATGAATCATTTATATTGAAAATTACAGTAGAGCGCCGATTATCTAAACATCTAATTATCCGAACTATGTCCAAATTCATTTTTCTTTTAAGTTTAGAATACTTTTTAACTTATCGGCAATTTTTTTAAATTTAGAAGAATAAATAATATCCACTACATCTGAAGACCATATTTAATTTGCAACCTTTTTAGCAGTTTACTTATAGTAGCCATACATACAAGTATTGTTATACAGTTAAACCTACTTACCCCTTTAGCCCTCTTCAACTGAAAATTATCTTCCAAGAATGCAAGCTTCATTTTGACAATTTACAATGGTTGGAATGCGGAAGGAGTTTATGAATAGATAAGTGCTGAAGTTCTACAATTGGGGGATGGGTAGTTGTCACTTATGGTTAATGATTAGTGATTACAGTGCACTTCTCAGAGCTGTTTACTTTTTGATGTTGCTGTAGACCAGTAGAATGACTATGTTTTTATGATGTCACTTCCAAAATGCATTCTTGAACAACAGGTTTTCTGCTGTCAAGATTACAATCAGTTGAAAAGTTGAGTTACCTGAGTAAAGTGCTTTTCATAAGAATCTAGAAAGATGTCATGTGAACGTAAGAGAATCGTTCTTTCCTTAAGTGATGAAACGAAAATTTGAAAATATTAGCTTCAGAATATGGCGTAAGAAAATCGACAGTATTGGAATTGAAAAAAAGTGAAGAATCAGTTATGAATTATGTTTCAGTAATGGACAGAAACAATGGATATTTAATAGAAAATGCATGAAAAAGTCAAGCAATCATGAAGTGGACAAAGCATTTTATTTGTGGTTCCTGCAAAAAAGATCATTAGGCCAACCAATATCTGGCCACTTATTATGTTCAACTCCATAGTCTTGTAATTTTGAACCAATCCAGAAGACAAGAAAACTCCTGGATCAGTACCCCCAGAGGTATTGATTTGTTATAGGAACATGAAGGACTTTGCGACTCGACAGATTTAATGTGCATCAGTCACCATTTTACTACACGGGGAGTCTTCGACCGGCCTGGGATGGAACCCACAAACTCTTGCACATAGGCCCAGTGCCCTACCGACCAGGCTATACCCGTCCATCATGAGAAATTTGGTGGAAAAGGTACTTTTCAGGCTAGTTTGGGATGGTTAAGCATACCCTCCAACTTATGAAGATTTTGAAAATAATTCTTTCTAGTGGTAGCGAACCAAAGTAGAAATTTTTAAAGCAAATGGATCTCTCATAAAACTTTTATTAGAACTTAAGAATCTAGCCATATGGCCTGCACTTTTATAAGTAATAGTGAACAAGTTACGCTAAAATTAATTTCTTTTAAATATTAAGACATTAATTTTGCTACCGTCTGAAAAGAAGCTTTCTGAAACTACGGAAATTCCGTAGCAGTTGGAGGGTGTGGTTAAGGAACTTTAAACATCGACATGGAATACGCGAGTTAGAAATTCATGGCGAAAAACTTTCCGCTTCCAACGAAGCCGCTTCAAATTTTGTAAAGGAATTCGAAAGCATTATTGAAACTGGAGGATATGAAGAAGAATTTATTTATAATGCTGATGAAAGTGGACTGAATTAGAAATCTCTACCGCGAAAAACTTTGGCTTCGGGGAGCAAGATAATTAAAGAGTCATAAATAACTTATGCGCAAATGCAACTGGAAATCATCGAATGCCTTTAATGATCATTGGAAAATCCAGAAATCCAAGAGCCTTCAAAAATATTAAAACATTGCCTGTCATTTATGCACCTCAAAACAAAGAGTGGATGAACACCAAAATTTTTATTGAGCGGTACGATAAGACTCATTCCAAATTTGAAGAAACATCAAAAGAATTTGGGAAAAACAGGAAAAGTGTTACTCCTCTTGGACAATTCTCCGCCACGCCAAATCCTGATTTCTTATATCGGGAGAATGGAAAGTTTCATGTTGTTTTCCTGCCACCTAATGTGACACCTTTGATTCAGCCGATGGATCCAAGTGTCATTGAAACCGTAAAATGTCTTTATAGAAAGCAACTTTTAAGGAAGATTTTATTATTGGATGAACAAAATGAGGGGGATTTCTGAGACTCGGATCAGAGCTAAAAAGTGTGAAGGGAAGTTACTGCATAAATAATAATCATTTAAACTAGATTTTAAATAACTTTCCAATTATCCGAACCACGCTCGGTACCGAGCAGTTCGGATAATCGGCGTTCTACTGTATATATAAGCTATGTATTGTAATGAGTAGACTTATTTATTTAAACTTTTCCAGGGGTGTTTGTGCTCCGGGATAACCCCGGAATTCCGGGGATTTTGAACTTCGATACCCGGAAATTCCGGGGATCGTCGTTCAAAAGGAAGTAGGAATAATAATGAATTATTTATTTTGATCTGGGTAATTTTGTTTGCTTTGAAAGCAGAAAACGCAAGGTCAGTGTGTGTGGTGAAAACTTTTCCTTTCTTTCTCCAAAGGCAGTGATAATGCGTGAAAAGGGGGGGGGAAACTTCTTTTTGTTCTTTCCTTATTGCGAGTTATGACTCATTCCCCCTTTTCTCGGACATTCTCTTCTGGATTCTTTTCGGCAAGTAGGCGCGGCAGAAAAAAAAAGGAGAGACTTCGTTCAACCAGATGCGCAATCACGGGACTCTGGGTTCAAAGGTCTTATCTCTCCTGGCGTGGCGCCAATAAGTAGAGAAGGGGGATTTTTTGCCGTATTAGCTATTTGTCATTGATCGCTTCGCAACTTTTTTTCTCCGCTGTGTAAAACTTTCGTTTCATTTATTGATGCACGTGTAAATTTTTCGTTTCGTTTATTGAAATATTTTTTTTATTTATGTACGCAAGAGAATTTCACTATGAAATTTCTCGATATAAGTAGTGATATTATACAATTAGAAGAAGGTGTCCGGAATGCATTTAGGTGGAATTGGATTGAACGGAGAGATGGTAATGGGGATACCATTGGCACATGGTGCAAGAAAATAAATGTTGCTGGACAAGCATATTGTGTTTTTTGTAACTCATTGCTGAAGTATGGTGGGGAAGGATTCAAGGCTTTCACAAATCATTCTAAAACTGTGACGCACATAAAATATTCAAAGTGCATTAGACATTCAATGACTTTAAGTAATTATGCTAATTCTAGAAATACTGATGACTTACTGGAGGCTGATGCTCGGCCATTGGATATAGTGACAAGAAAAGCACGCCAAGAGGTATTAATAACTTCGTTTATCGCCGAGAATTCTCTTTCTTTCAATGTAGCTCCCAACTTAATTGAACTCTGCAAACAGTTGAGCCGCGATCAGACGGCACTAAACTCGTTGGCTATGTCCAGGACTACTGCATGTTATAAGATGAAATATGGGCTCGCAAAAACTATTAAGGAAAATATCATTAAAACTTTAAAGGAGACTCCATTTTCTCTCAATTTGGATGAAAGTACTAGCAATGCTCAAGAAAGTATACTGGCAATATTGGTGCAGTTTTATGACAACTATCAAAATGAAGTTGTAGTTCATCATTTTGCATCTCTAAAGATGGAATCTTGCAATTCAGAAGCTGTTTTTAAAGCAGTTGTTAATACTATTGAAGATAATAATATTCCATGGGCAAACTTAATTAGTGTATTAATGGACTCATGTAACACCATGCGTGGAAAAAAAAGGGTGTTGAAACCAGACTACGATCAAACAAAGCACCCCACTTATTAGATATTGATGGTGACACATGTCACACAGCTAATAACTGTGCAAAAAAATTT